CCTGAAATAAATAATCTCTACGAACGGGATATACCTTTAAAGCTAACGTGAAACAACTCCGATTGGTATTATAGTTTGTGCATTGTCGGTCGTCATGGATGATGGAACAAGTGTTTATGACGTGCTGAGGCCAATTATTGAAACGATGTAACATGATTTAGTTCTTAATTTTTTTTATCTCTATAAGCATGCAGTGTGGAACGTATTCACGCCTTCATTATGTTTTCCACAGAATATGCGAAGGGCGGTACTAATTAAAAAAGCCTAGGTCAAATATAAATAAAAAGTTACAGAATATGTCCAGGAATGCATGTCATACACAAACAAACTCTAAGATTCGTGATCTACAGAAATTGGTTTCTTATCTAGAATGAAATTATGTTTCTGCAAAGAGTCAGTGAACAGAACAGATGTGGACAAAATTGCTGTTGCTGTTGCAAAATCAGTCATTCGCAAGTCATTTGTTACCGAAAAAAGGAATTGAACTGAATTGGGTTTGCCAAATTTTCTTTGCCCCTGATACCAATCTACAGAGCTTGCATAAAAACCGGCCCCTCTTACTTTAGAAGTTTTGGAAGAAAGTTAATACCGATCAAAATTGTATCGGAGATTGTTTGGAAAGAAGGCCATTCTTTACTCATTGAGATTGAAAGCACTGGAAAGACTTCGTTTCATGGAAGGTGGAACAGATTCCAGTTGCCAATGTTTGTTCTTCTGCTCCTATGGTTTTAGCTGAGAATTAAAAAACACTGAAGCGATGATGAGGATCCGACTCAAGAAACATTCAACCCAACTGTCCAACTGGTAGTCCACACCGTTTCAACCTTCTCATCAGCCCGTGTTTGGCCAGTGAACACTGGAGGATTCGAATCAGCATGCATAAGTAATCAGAGGCGACATAATTATTTGTCCAAACGTGGTTCACGAAATGATAAATACTACTTACGTACGCGAATCACTCCTTTCCAACGAGCTATACGAATCGAAGAGAGAGATTTGACGAAAGAGTAAATTCGCTCGTGCTTCGTTTGGGAGAGTTGGAGTCCTCCAGGAGCACATTAAGCATGAGGAAGTTCAAGATTGTGATCAAGTTTCTTCTATAAGTCAAACAGAACGTTTCTACCTGCTCTTTGCAAGGCTGCGTTGCGAAGTGTGTGAAAGCAAGCCTTCATAATTAAACAACGGTGATAGCAAATAAACAAGTCCTAGTAATCAATTCTATGCAGACATTAAGCTCTGGCTCTCAATACACGAAAGTTGTGCATGTTGTCAGCAGTCCCTCCAAATATCCCAAGGTGTCTTTGTTCTGTTTTGTCGGACAACACTGTACAATATTGTCCGACAAAACAAAGGACGAAAGCCTTCCGGGCCGAAAGTCGACCCGATCGCAGCCTCTAAGCTCTCTGCTGACAAGAAACTGCTATCCTCCGCAATGGCACCAAAACTGTAGAGCATAGTCTACAAAAAGAATTAAATTTCTTTTCTAAAAGTTTCACTTAATCATTCACGCAAACGGACGAATGCCGAAGGAAATCTATACTGTGTATATTATGACAGTAATTATATTTAAGTTTATCGACGAATATCCTCACTTGAGCTCATCATCTCATTATCAGTCAGAACCAGAAGATTAATTTCTTACGTAAACTACGCTCTGAAGGTTATGAGCGTCACTAAGTTCATGAATGCTGCATGCTTAACGTTACATTCAATACTTTCTGCAACCTTAGGCCTTAAGTAATATCCTTGGACGGAAGTCATGACTTTCTAGTGAAGAATGTCGACTCAAAGGCCCGATCAATAACTGCCTGTATAGCTTCTTGGCATCACAAGGAGCAACATCCACACCGTGCTGTATCAATCACATCCAATCAGGACCGTGGGAGTTGCATCGGTAAGCTGCGTAGAGTTAGATCTTCTTAGACTAAGCCCTTGACCGATTACTGGTGTTTCCAGTGCCTTCCCTCTTCCCGAAGCGAAGGCTTAGGCGGGTATTACGGGCCTTCGGATCTAAATTGATAGAAAAAGAACGAAGCAATGCCTTGATGAATTTGCTGTGCATCTATAAGCGAGAGTGCCCTCTCCCGCTGGTTGCTCATCGGTAATGAACTGACTCATTCAGCAAATAACGCTTCCACATGTAAGTGTGACCAATTTGCCAAAGTATGGCCAGCTCGAGGACGAAATTAGAGAACTACCTTTGCTTCTCCTTTATTCACTACACCATGGATAATGGGAGAATGGGATCCACAAGAAAACATGAGCATCTTCAGGTTCGCTCCTGTGTCTGCAGAACAATGACACGTTTGAATCGGGGAGGCTACTAACTACTGAGCTCTGTTTCCTTCAAAAACGATGCGGGAGATGCTCCATGCCGACTCCTCTTGACACACTTATGCTAATTCAAGCTGAGAACGAATAATCATTCAATTTGTTAGTTATACCCACCAGCTTCAGCGGTCTATGCGCAAGGCTCTATCTAAGGAACATTGAGAATATAGAGCTTGTTATCGGGAGCATTGAGTCTCCATTTACACCAAATGTCGGCATCTGCAGCTGAGCTGTGAGTATCAATGTAGAGCTCAATCAGGCCATTAGCAGCCCGTCTTATACGGTGGAACGCTACAGTTTCTGGTGGGGAAGTCTTCACTTACGGAGATCCTCTTCGTATCTGTCACTGATGATACTCATATCATACCAGACAATGTGTTATACAAACAGCGTCCTCCAATTCGTGCTGCTCTGTGGATCAATAGCCTGCGCTATAGTAACTATTCAGAAGTAACCGAAATGAATGCATTTTGCAGTTATTATATAGGAATGCTATTCTCCAATTATTGGAAAGCAATTCCTTCTCTTTATAAGAGCCAATGCACTTACATAATCAGTCATGCTTTGCAGAATTGAGGCTCTGTGTTGAAGCCTCTCACTGTTACAAGTCATGTGCTGCCAGTCTCAGAAAAGAATTTCATAACTGAGTTGCAGGCGGGAGAGCTCCACCACTCTGTCTGCCTGATACATCGCAGATGTAGGTGGGCAAGGCCTCAGGACATGCAAAATGTCGTCTGCGACCTGACTCTGCGGACGCTGTTGGTGCCGTAGTGTGTGAAACCAACCTCCTCATGCTGCTGAATATTTTGAGCTCCTTAATTGCTCGCAAGTGGCTGCCTGTGGAATGCTAAACCACAGCGGCACTCACCTGCACGTTCAGGAGATCGTGATGCTGAATACGGAAGCCTGTACTGGGCCGTTAGGGAATGCGATATATGGCTTGCATTTTGCTCCATCAGAAGCTCATCTGCATGCAGCGGCTGTCTTTGCAGCGAAAGAGATATATTTCTGATCTCGATGGGCAAGAAGGTCAAAATTGTAGACTTCAAACATAGATTCACTTCACTGTGCAACATTCCATGTGGAGGTGGGAACAGTCCATGTTTCTCCTCGGGTCCCTCGACCTGCATGCTAGCAGGATACAATTTTCTAGTGTCAACGATCACTTCGTGCTCATCACATTCGGTTCCTACTTTCCTGCCTTTGATCAGGCTCCTCGTCACTTCGAACTTTGATTCGACCGTAAAAGCACCACCACCATTCCGCTTCAGAAGATTCTGCTTCCAGATCTAGTCAAAAGTACGAAAAGAACCCGTATATTCGCGCCTCATGATCTTCCCGGGACGATGGCTGCATTCAGGGCTCTCGTGAGAAAAGAGGAACTTATTCCACTTTGGTCTCCTTTCATCTGAACAGAATGCGGAGCGTCAGCTGAGTGTGTCGTCGGTGTCTCTCATCACTGACTTTCATATTCCAGGAAATCGTCAGTTCACTTTATTACGTGGAAAGTGTCACCGACCACAACCGAGAGAAGAGAAGACTGCATATAACTTATTAATTGGTTATTGATTTCCTCTACGTTCCAAAACAAGAATGGGTGACATGTTATGGCATGCATGACTTCTGAAAATGCATCGCAATGCACACGTCCATGCTTGCCTTACTTGGAAAGCCTGTGCGATATGGAATAAACAACGGAACAAAGATGTGGGGGACTTGAAGACCACGTTCCTGGTGGGGCTGGAGACACATACATGACATGAAATCGTCGGACACAACATGGAAAACCCAAATATCGAAAATTTGTGGGCTCGAGAGATTGATGCAAATGATGAGAATAGCCTGACCAGAGAGTACACGAGTATCTTGTGAGCTCGGTGCCAGCTCAGGCGCGCTCTTGAATAAGCCCAAGAGCCCGAGCATCTGCGGGGGTGAACGTCCATGTCCATGTGGTCAGATAATCCTGACACAGAGCTAAATTTGTGGTGTGGATGCTGGACCTGGCGCATCAATGGTCCGATACTGTTACGGAAAACAAAACACGAGTGTGCACTGGATTGTAGTTTCGCAGGGATCTGTGCACTGACGCGACAGGAAAAGTCAACCTGATGCCCGTATCCTTCACGTGTCAGGGGCCTGGGCAGAACCCTTCTGACTCGAATCGAGGTGCAACCAGTTTTCTCCTGAGCCGGTGCTGCGGAATGCGGAATCCGGAATCACGAATCTCGAAGCGGCCGCGCGAGCTCGTGAATATGTAGGAGATGGAGTCGCAGGCTCTGCAACTTGGCCCTTGTACATACAAGAGAAGTTCAGGGCTAAGATAGGCACTGGTCTACTGATGAAAGAGCCCAGAGGCCCGAGGTACGTCAGTGCCTGTCTTAGCCTTATGGCCGGCAGCAGGCAGAAAAAAAAGCCAGCCAGCACCAGGATGGTGAATCGGGATCGGACAATGTGAGAAGCAGCCAAGCTGAACAAGGATCGAGCTTGAGAATTTCGGACTTCACTTCATGGGAACCGGTTGACCAGCTGCCATGTCAAACATGTTGACTCGAAAATGCCATCGGACGTTGTCGGACTTCCACCTCTTGGTCGGGAGCTTCTTGCTCGCTGCTGCTGCGCGAGCTTACAGCTATGGCGACACGATACCAGATTTTAATTGGGAGAGACTTAGCATCATCTGTACCAACATGGCCACGGGCGTGCAGTGCGATACAATGGACATTAGGTCCTTGAATTTTGGGGGCTTCACCGACACCCATCGCAACATCATTTCAGTCGATATCGACGGCTACTATGCCTTAGGATTCCAGCAGATCACTCGCGGCGAATTCTTCCTCTCCATCTATCCCTTCTATCCTACCGACGATTCTGCCGGGCCTGCAATTTGGACTGCCAACCGCAACTGGCCAGTGGATGAAAATGGCACGCTGGGATTCTTGTCGACGGGCACGCTCGAGCTTCGAGACTCGAGAGGAACTGTGGTAAGAATCTGCACTCCTGTCCCCCTTCCCTGCATTGCCATCGTCCTACGACCATTAAGAATGTCGGTCACGTTGCACGAGATCTGGGACCGCAAAAACCCCAGAGCTGCGCCAGTAAACCAGTCCTTCGATTAGAATGTGTTTCATTGTGATCTCAGTGGCTCAGCTGCATCAATGCTGGTGCTCAAACTTTGATAAGCTTATGACAATCAATTTATCGTCGTAATCTCTCGGATGCTTGCTGGACCTGCCTGCGCAGATGTGGTGCACGAGAACACATAATAGAGGGGTTGAGAAATTTGTATTCTCTCCCGAGCACGGAAAGATCGAGCTACTAACTGCAACCAATGACAGTATATGGTCGAGCTTCGACGACCCCTCGGACACAGTGGTGGAGAATCAGGTCCTGAGCTACATGGGCGGCGCGGTGGTGAGCAGCGAGACTCGAGAAGGGCGAGGCACGGGAAGGTACAGCATGGTGGTGAAGGCCGGCGGCCTCGTGCTCTACGCGAGGAGCGAGAATGGCAGTCAGTTCCAGCCGTACCGAGCATTTGGACTCAATGGCAGAGACGACCTGCAGTCGGTGCTGCACACTTGCAGATTCGCCTCGTCCGTCGCATTCCTGCTGCCGTCGTCTCGATTCGTCGCAATCCTGCGCGAGAAGAATTCCAGCGTGCACGCAGTGCTGGGGCGAGACGTGGATCCCGAGCTGTGCGCGGAGGAATCGTTCAATAATAATGGCAGCGAGCGAGGCCTGTTTGATCTGGACACTCTGATAAACTCGACGTGGCCGAGCCGAGTGGCGCCATCGCTCACCAAAGCGCTCAAGCTCGAGTACAATGGCACTCTGACGCTCTACGCGTGGAGGCGGGGCGTGCAGATCTCGCCCACCGCGACGGATGCGGTCGATCTCTTCGGCTCGGACGATGCGTGCAGTTTTCCCGATCGCTGTGGCCCTTTCGGTGTGTGCATCACGGATCCTCTGCAGGCGGCGGGCTACTCGTGCTCCTGCCCTCGGAGCCCCGACGACGACGATCAGCTGCCGAGCTCGTCGTCGTGGCCGTGGGAAGAGATTGAGCCCGGAGTCCCCAGCCATGGCTGCAGGCTGTTGGCCGGCACGCCGACGTGCAAGCAGGATCGTAAGGTCGGTGGCGGATCCGAGCTGCTCGAGCTTCGGAACGTGGATTATTTCGCCAACGATTTTCTCACACCGATGCTGGTCTCACAAGACGCATGTCGGCAGCAATGCCTGCAGGATTGCTCGTGCGTCGGTGCGTTTTACCGATCGTTTCCCGAGGGCCAGTGCTTTCTCCAATCGCAACCCTTTCACTCGCTGCGAAGCGCCAATCTGAGCTTCACCGCATTCATCAAGGTGAGCTCGTCGACCGCCGAATTCTCCACCACGTACGCCTTCTTGCTGATCATGGGCACTCTGGCAGCCACTCTGCTCGGGGCGCTGGTGGTGTGCGCATTTTGCATTCGGCGCCGCCAGCAGCGCAGGTGTTACAATGTGAGTCAGAAGTTCTTCAGCCTGCAGGAGGATTTGTTCCTCGACACGCTGTCGAGCTTGCCGCCGAGACTGCCTCTGAAAGTGCTGGAGAAAGCCACGAAGGGCTTCCGAGACAAGCTGGGCGAGGGGGGATTCGGCGCTGTGTACAATGGATTGCTCCCCGACGGCACTAAGGTGGCCGTCAAGAGGCTCGAGGGCCCAGGGCAAGGAGTCAAGGAGTTCCGGGCCGAGGTGGCCACCATCGGCAGCATTCACCACAAAAATCTCGTGCAGCTCTGCGGATTCTGCGTCGAGGGAGCCGAGCGCCTTCTCGTGTACGAGCACATGGCCAATGGATCTCTGGACAGTCTTCTCTTCTCAGACACCAGCACCAATTCTCAGAGCAAGCTCGGCAAAGACGGATGCATCCTCGCGTGGGCGACGAGGATGAGTGTGGCCAAGGACACGGCTCGAGGGCTGGCGTATCTGCACGAGGGCTGTCGCGAGAAGATCATCCATCTGGACATCAAGCCGCAGAACATCTTGCTGGATGAGCACTTCCTGGCCAAAGTGGCGGATTTTGGGCTGTCGACTTTGGTGAAACGAGACAAGCAGAGCTTGGTGGTGACGCAGATGCGAGGGACGCCCGGCTACCTTGCGCCCGAGTGGCTGCACATGTCGGCTGTGACGGAGAAGGCAGACGTGTACAGCTATGGAATGGTTCTGCTGGAGCTCGTGAGCGGGCGCAGGATTGTGGAGCCCGACAAGGTGTTCTTGCCGGCATGGGCGTTTCAGAGGTTCAAATGCGGGCAGCTCCAAGAGCTCATCGATCCCAAAATTGCTGACTCTGTGAACATGGACGAGGCGCATTTGATGATTCGGGTGGCGTTCTCGTGCATCCAGGAGAATCCCCTGGAACGACCGTCCATGAGCTTGGTCGTTCAGATGCTGGAGGGCCTCGTGGCCGTTCCCCAGCCCCCGCGGTTCGGCCAGATGCCGAGAATTCTGAGCATGTCCACGATCAGCTTGTCATCCTCGAGCTCAGATTCTTCGTCGCCCAATCAATCTTGTACAGATGACTCCAACCGATTGGGGCACTCCTTCAATGGCCTGGGCCAGCGGGCCACCGATCGAGGCTACTCGTACCTGATGGAAGGTGGACTTTCTACTGCCTACATTCATTCTATCACTGCTCCTAGATAACTGGATAACATTTCGGATCATGGTCACAGGCGATCATTGCAACTTTAGTGGATTGTACAGGAAAGTTGAACGTACCCTAACCTTTGCAACTGAGTATCATCGAGCGCATCATCGAGTATGTTAGCACGGTAGCTGACCTAGTTATCACCCCGTAGACTAAAAGATTTCATCGTTATAGAAAAAGGGGAAGTCCTTAGATTCTTGTACAACAGAGAGAGATGGATTGAACACTTCAGTAGAGCGAGCGAGCGCAGCAGCGGTGGTCGAAGGCTCAAAATCTCAGTGTGTCAGTGACACTGTCCATGTAACATTAGTAAGTTCCCAAGTCCTGGAATGGTTTGTGCGGCGAGTGGTGGTTTATGCACGACGGTAGATTCAGAGAAAACCCTGTAAATTATGTCGAGAGCCCAGTGTATGTTGTCGTTGCCTCAAAAGGCCGATCAGCTTTGTGAGCAAAATTTCTCCAAGAGAATTGGTTATAATCGCATAGTGATCAAAATTTTGAACATTCTGAAGTAAAAGCCTGCGGGCGAAAGTACGTTCACCTTTTAGCTTTTCGTTTCCACTATCCTTGATCCCGAACTCTGTGAATCTTCCTGAATAACTTCTGTGGTTCGTTGTACTGGACATCTGGACCTTTCGGAGAGCTCCTCGAGCCTGTCGGTCTCGAAGATGAGCTCTCGCTGTCTCGGTCTGGCTACTGCTTGGTCTGTGCATGCATCTGCCTCGGAAGATTTGACTCAGACAGGCACGAGAAACACCACCTGACGGGATCTGTCTGAATTTCAGACAGATCGGTCCTCATCTCATGAATAGCATGCGACTCTCATTTCCACTGTTCTTGTTCATATCTTGAAGGAGAAACGAAGAAATGCATCGTGTGTTCAGAGCTTCAGAGCTTCAGAGCTTGTGGACCGGCGACGGCGGCTGCTCCTGTTTTCCAGTCGAGGCCAATCGTGCTAGAACTGTGTTCAGAGAATCTTCGGTCCCATGGACGTAGATGCCATCGTACACGGCAAAAGAGTGTAGTACACATGTTTTCGGTATCGTATGTGGAATGTAGAATGATGACGTCCGGCATGAGCCCACGCAGACTATCACATGTGATTAGGATTGGAAGCACAACAAAATTCAGTGCATGCCCATGCCCCCTTTCAAGATCAAAAGGTATGCCGCATGGCCCCAAACATATCCGTATTAAAATATGTACATTTCATCGTATCAAAAATATACATATACGGAGATAAAATACTAAATAGTATCAATCAACACAAAAATGAAAGTTTAAAACCCAAAACAGCTACAGCAGAATCTCCAAGTGAAAACAGTTTTATTCTTCATTTATCCCACAGTTTATAACTCTAAAATATACATTTATAATTCTAGAATATATATATAAATTTGTTTATACATACAGGCATATTGGTATAGAAAATGCATGCCCGTGCACTCGCCCCGGGTCATGCCTTTTGAGGTTGTGCCATAAACTCTACATGTGAAGCTCGATGTGAATAATGAATGCTCATTATTCTCTTAAAGGAATAAAATATCAAAATAAGGCTAAATTTCTAATCTAAATTATATAAATGTAAGATATAAATGTAAGATTACATCAAAGTTATCAATCTCCTTAGAATTATGTCAACTCAATTTGAAATCAAATGCAAACTCCTTTAAAATTACATATCCTGGCAAAGTTTTTCTTATGGATTTTCTTTACATGACAACTACATTTATTTGTAAACAGAAGGTGATAACTTTGTGATAACTTTTAAAATGGCACATTCATTAAATATTTTAATATTATGAAAATATCATTTTTTATATTTGAATTATATATATGGATAGTAAAATAATAACTATTATGATATTAAATTATCATAATATGAATAGTTATAATATTTCATTTTATTATGATAAAAAAAATTATATACAAATGAATCATACAATAACGAATATGACAATTTACTGAATGAATAAGACAAAGTTAGCAACTATGATAGTAAGGTTTTGGGAGTTGTTTATGCAAAAATTTAATTCGATAAATGAAATTTCTTATTTCAAATATATCTGAGTGAATAATGAAATTCAAGTAAAAAATGTATTTATAAGTGAAAAGTTGTGACATATATCATTATTATATGCTGAATTATTCATTTCGATTTCAACAATTTTTCCCTTCATCCAATCATAGTGTTTTAATATGCTTAATATTATGTTTAATGTACTTTGTGAAAATCAAATATTCTAAAATTAAAAGTTGTACACTTTACATTTAATAAGCAGAATTTTGTGACATCATGTTTATGAATCATGTGAGATTTGCATCAATGAAATTAACTTTAAATCCATCTTTGGATTCAACTTGCACCTTTTTAAAGCATTTGCATAGATTAAAATATTTTCTTAAAATAACATGTGTAGATTGTGGTGGGATGTGTGTTTCAAATGTATGAATTAAGATTCATAATCTTATAAATCATTTCTGTAGTTATCAATCAAAAATTTATCCTATGCAGATTCATGAAATTGTATCAATGATGTCTTTCAAAATCAAATTCTGTTACTTTTAGTTTTTTTTGATCACATAAATCAAATAGTTAATTAATGATAATCAAAAGGACCTAGCATAGAAGATGTATATGTCACATTTCAGTATTAAAATCAATAATTCAGTTTATCTGGTATTCGCAGGCTTCTAGAATTTTCTTTAGTCTACATTGACGAATGCTTCTCATTTTTTATAAAAATAAATACATGCATTATGTAGAATATTAAGAGATGCAAGTCGTATAGAATATGAATACATTACAAACATGAACTATATGACAATGAAACTCGATATTTAACTTGGTGTAAGCTTTTTACACTTGATGTGTATATTACAGATTGATATTCTGTGAAAAAAATTCATTTTTTGCCATGTAGATGTGCTAGAGACGTGATCGAAGATGAATATATAAATGGAAGTAGCAGTAATTGGATGTATTCACCGACAAATAGACATAATCCAACGTAAAATGATTGCTCAATGCTGGTTCGATTCATGTCATGACAACAAAGACAATCCAGGAGATTTTCGTTTATTTTTCTCATTGCTGTTCGCATGATTTGGAGATAATCCCATCATCGGAGATTGAATTTCTCTTCTACCAGGCTCTGGATCTTGGTGAGTGGTGGTGGTGCATGCCAAAACGTCACAATAATAAAGACTCCAGCATATGAAGAAAGCAGGAACATTGGTAGTAGATACGAATGCCATGCTATCAGACCGAAGAAGAGTCACAATGATGCACGATATGCTTATCTGCATGTCGAAATTGGTCACATTCGCAATAATACAAGATTAAGAAATTAAAAGTGTGTTAGAATAAAATAAAGTGAAAAGAATAATCAAACCCAGTGCTCTTTCATGGACAGAAGGTAAAATGATGCACAATATGCTTATCTGCATGTCGAAATCGGTCACATTCGCAATAATACAAGATTAAGAAATTAAAAATGTGTTAAAGTAAAATGAAATGAAATGAAAAGAATAATCAAACCAAGTAGCATGTAAGATAGGACTAAAAAATATGAAAGATGTGAATCAAGTGAATTAATGCAGCGAAGGAAGTGGGAGCCATGGGGATTGTGGGTGCACGAATGAACAAGGGCCTCGAAGAATTATGTCCTGAGAAGAGCGAGCACAGCATCGACAGAGGGTGATGTCGCGCTGGAACGATTCTGCCCCCAGTGGATCTGATAATCTGATTTCCGATGCACATTGCTCCACGACAAGCAGACGTACTATGTCGATCCGGGCCAGCTAGCGAGCGCTCGTCTGGTTCGGCCTTGGGGCTGCTCTGGAAGCTCCTCTGTAGCACAATCCTCCGAAAGGAAATCCCTCATCTGAGAGTTGGGAATCTTGCCCGGGGTCGCAAGGTTTCGTAACCCATGAGCATGAGAGAGAGGTGCACTTGTGTTCGTGCGGCCGAATTGGATTCGGATTGCCCTCCCTTGACCTTGAGAGCGTCGAACGATTGATTGATTGATCGATGGATCGAATGGGGGATAGTCCCACAGGGTTGCACGGATGCCGAGATTGGCGCCACGATTGTGGAAGAAGGTGCTGGGCCTGAGAGGCTGGCCAGTGGATGACACACGTGCTTGGCTCAAGGCGTGCTGCACGGATCAGATCAGAGTCGACAGCGCTTGGTTATGGAACTGTGGGGCGATCTGGAAACTCCGCCAAGAATGGGTCAAATGCAGAAACCTGGAATCCTGTCGGACAGTGGCCGAGCAGAGGGCCGCGAGAGCGGGGGCGCCGAGAATTCGTAGTCGGTGCTGACTTTTATAATGTTTGCGTGCTCTGTCGCTGATGACAGCAGCGGGTCTATTTGTGGATTTGCCGTCCAAGCTTGACAGCTGCACAATCGGTTTGCCGGATGGCTTCGCAGCCATACTACGCGGCAGCCAGAATCATTATTGGGAAGTGCACTAATGATTGCATGAGTGATTGCTTGATGCAACCCGATCAATTAGAATGTGCAGCATTGCTCGTCCATCTCCGATCAGGGCCTCTCCCCTCCCTACAAGAGTCCGCAGGCACTCGCAATTTGCCGAGATCCACGATCCAATCCAAGAGAGATTGGCTGAAAATTTCGAATTCCAAGTGGACCACCGCAGCAGCAGACATTGAATAGAGAGAAGAGTTCAGACTAGCACGCGATCGGGCTAAATTTCCTTTCCCTTTCATCGGTCTAGAAAATTCAGCAGCAGCCTCAGATTGCTGAGCCACAAATTCCACCCTTGTAGATATTTTGAAAGCTTTAGAAAAACCCATCGAGAGATAGAGAGATAGAGAGATAGATAGATAGATATAGAGAGAGAAAGATTGATTGTGTGCAGCACCATCGACAAGTTTCAGATGTCAAATCCAAAATGCGTGAAGTTGTGTCTTGTTTATTTGAGTGTGGTGCAGTTGGCGACGGCAGCAGCGCCAAATCAGGGGCGGAGCAACAAATTCGACCGCTTCACTCTCGGCAATGTGAACATAATCTGCACGAATTTGGCCACGGGCGTGCAATGTGACTATCCGATTCCGTCGGCCGGGACCACAGCGACGGGCAATTCGATGCATCGCAACATCATCGCGTACGACTCGGACGGCATTTACGCGCTGGGGTTCCACGAGCTCGTGCGCGGCGAGTTCTATCTCTCCATTTACCTCTTCTACCCGAGCGACAGCTCCGCCGGCCCCCCGGTCTGGACGGCCAATCGCGACAACCCGGTGGATGAGAACGCCACCATGAGCTTCTTGACGACCGGATCCTTGGAGCTTCGAGACTCGCAGGGCAATGTGGTACGCCGACTCCCAACCTTGCGCTCATGCTGTCTCTCCCATCGCATCGCATTCTCATCAATTCTCTGCATTTCTCGCATTGCATTTCGAATTCGAATCTCGAATTTATTACAATTTCTCGAATTGCCATTGACGAGTCGTGCATTCGGTTGGTGCTCCTCATGCTCGAAGAAATGGTCGTCGCGGACGGAGACGAAGGGCGTGAAGAGCTTGGTGTTTCTGAACGACGTGGGCAGTCTGGAGCTGCTGAACGAGGCGAATCTGACAGTGTGGCAGACGCTGGACGATCCGTCGGACACCGTGGTGAAGAACCAGGTCATGCGATTCGACCCCGCAGGGCAGAAATCCGTGGTGAGCAGCAGCACGCCCGACGGGCGCGGCAAGGGATTGTACTCCATGGCCATGGGCGCCGGCGGCCTCGTCCTCTACGTGAGCGCCGATCGCAGCAGCACTGCTGCGCTTCTGCCATATCGCACCTACAGCTTCTACGGCCAATCCGACCTTCGCTACGCCTTGCGCACTTGCAGGCATCCCACCTTCGCATCCTTCTTCCCGCCTTCGTCATCCCGATTCGGCGCAATTTTGCAGCAGGACAATTCGTCGATCGCCCCGGCCTCGGTCGTCGACCCCGCCCTCTGCAGCAGCAGCCTCGGAGCTGCGAAGGGCATCTTCGACCTTCAGAGGCTTGCGAATTGGTCCTCCGAGGTCAATGACACCAAGGCCTTGCGGCTGGAGCACGACGGATCGCTCAAGCTCTACTCGTGGAAAGCTCAAGCTCGCACTGCCTCCAATCCGCTGGTCGTCGACTTGTTCAGCGACGACGACCCGTGCAGCCTCCCCAATGTGTGTGGGCCTTACGGGGTCTGCACCAGAAGCTATGGCGACTCGACTTACTCCTGCACTTGCCCATCGACGTCTCGAGACAGGCCCAATCGCTTCTGGGATCAGGTGAGCTCGCAAGACGCCAATCAAGGATGTCAGCTTCCCGGAGACCGACCCGTCTGCTCGGTGGGACCTTCGTCCATCCGCACCGACTTCATCGAATTAGACAGCGTAGACTATTTTGCAAATGAGTTTGCCACAGCCCAATTGAGCACAGCCGAGCAATGTCAGCAGCAATGTTTGCACAATTGCTCGTGCCATGCCGCTTTCTATCGAACGAGCTCGGGCCAGTGCTTTCTCACATTCCATCCTCTGCTCTCGCTGCGTGGCGAGAACTCGTCCACCTTCGTGGCCTATGTGAAGGTCGTCAGGCCCGACTCGAGCTCGTCAGCAGCCACGGGCTTGATCGTGGGCGTCTCGGTGGGGGTCGCAGGTGCAATTGTGGTCGGGCTTTCGATCGCTGCGTTGTTGTGCATCTGGAGGCGACGACGACGAGAGATAGGCTGCAAAGAGGCGAACCTGTTTCTCAATTCGCTGCCAGGATTGCCGCCGAGGCTGCACCTGAAGGACCTCATGACAGCCACGCAGGAATTCAGTCTCAAGATCGGCGAAGGGGGATTCGGGGCGGTGTACAAGGGCAATCTGCCCGACGGCACAGAGGTGGCTGTCAAGAGGCTCAAAGGTGCAGCAGGTCAGGGAGCGAAGGAATTTCGAGCGGAGATGGCGACCATTGGCAGCATCCACCACATCAATCTCGTGCGCCTCTATGGGTTTTGCGTCGAGGGCGACCATCCTCTGCTGGTGTACGAGTACATGGCCAATGGATCGCTCGACAGTCATCTCTTCATGGACGACACGGCCAAGAGCGCCAAGAGCTGCTTGGACTGGCAGACGAGGATGAGCATCGCCTCCGACACTGCCAAAGGTCTGGCGTACCTGCACGAGGACTGCCGCGAGCAGATCATCCATCTGGACATCAAGCCGCAGAACATTTTGCTCGATGAGCAATTTCGTGCCAAGGTTGCTGACTTCGGGCTGTCCAAGCTCGTCAAACGCAACCAGAAGGGCCAAGGCCAGCAGGGCGTGACGCATTTGCGAGGCACCCCGGGCTACATTGCGCCCGAGTGGTTGCACATGCCCACGGTCACCGAGAAAGCTGACGTTTACAGTTTCGGCATCGTGCTCTTGGAGCTCGTGAGTGGCAGGAGGAATGCCGAGTTCTCTCTGAGACCCGAGAGGATGTTTTTCCCCCGCTGGGCCTTCCAGAGGTACAAGCACGGCAAGCTGCAGGAAATTTTGGATCGTCGGCTCGACGAGTTTGTCAGCACGGATGAGGCGACTCGCATGCTTAAGGTGGCCTTCTGGTGCATCCAGGAGGATCCTCTCTTGAGACCGGCGATGGGTGGCATTGTTCAGATGCTGGAGGGGACATTGCAAGTCTCGGAGCCTCCAGAGATTCATGGATATTCAGAAGCCGAGACCATTGTCGACATCAGAGAATCCGAATTCGTGTCTCCATCTTCGAATGGCATCTCCTCCGCTGCTGCTGCTCCTCCTCATCATCAGCTGGGCCATGGAGTCAATGGTGTCAACGGGGTCGACCAGAGGGCTGGAACTCGGTCGTTTTCCAAGGCTCTAGAAGGTGGACTGTCCACATCCCATGAGCTATCGATAGTAGAAGCTAGATAAATACTTCACTTCACAGAGAAATGAAATCTCTGATCGGCGTTTGGATCTTAATTTATTTCTTTCCAGATTAGACGTAACCAGCCGAATCGAGCATTCACATGGTCCACGATACCGATTCCTACATTGGAGAGTTCAAAAGCTCGAGATTCTTGTTTGTACATTACCTTTTTGCAAGGATCGAAGGGCAACAGACTGGAACTTTTTTGCTCAGATCGCATCTGAGCTGCGCAGTTCCTCAAAGGACGACTCTCTGTAAGATAGGCACAGGAAAAATCCCACAATTTTACACCTTCAAAGCAGTTAGCAGCTTCTCGCAGACCCGATGGGCCGGAAGCCATATCCTGTATACTCCTAAGTCCACTTTAGACCGGCCCATCACATCCTTTGTATTCCAGAGTTCATTACAGACTTTGACTCATGTTCAGAGAATCTGAGCGAGATCAACCGAGAAGTAAAACGCGAGAGCTGAATGCTGCAGCTAACGTTTGGTACATTCTTGTGGACTGTGTGACGAGGGATCACACCTCAGACTATGAATGACGAGAGGCTCTTCGTCAAAGATGTCATGGAGCCCGCGCTTGAGATATACTTTGTTTGGATCTCTTACGGTCTCACTCTGTGTACGTGACCATCAGGACGAGGCAGAGCAGAGCTCGCAAATGAAGATGGTCCACAGATACATGACTGATAAATGCGTTATATCCTCTCCTAATTCATGACGATGAAAGAATTCAACAGAAGCATCTGCAATCTCGAACTAGACTCCTCAAGATTCTGTGTCTGAAGCAAGATTGTTCGTCCTGTACATTATAGGTTAAAATAATTGTTGCTGTCGACGTGTGATCCTTCGGTTATGAGGCGAAAAGAGCAACTTCTATTTCGCACCGATAGTACATCAGTGTCTCTCCAGCGTACAACCTTCAAACATTCGACGGCAAGACCTTTGCCTTTAAGAAGATGCGTACGATTTCTCGAAAGGCTTGGCACAGAAGTTGTGGCAAAAGTGTACAAGCAACATTCCGAACCCAGGGAGGGAACTTTACTCCCCAAAAGTACCACCAGCGCCGACGGCTTACCAGGTGTAGCTTTTTTCCTCAAAAGGTGGAGTAGCAAGATGCATCTTGCTGATGGAAAACCCCTTGCTAGCTACAGGGGCTCCGACTGTCACTCAATGAATGAATGATTGTCGAGAATGCAGATGATGGCGAGGAATATGTGCTCAAGCATCTTCTTACTTCGATGTATACAGTGATGATGCCTGAATGTTGTATACATGGCTGAAGGTAATTTTGGCGAGCGTTTCCACATTTGTATTGGCTATTATTAATCCAGGGAATCTCACAATCGGAGAATGGCTGAAGATCTGTTATCCACTACAACGAAGCTTGTCGTTGACATTTCGAATGCAGACAAGTAGGCAACAGCAATCTCGCCCGTTTGCCGTGAGAATCAGTCATCTGGCAAAGTATCAATCGATGGGGCTTATATGCAGATGCCAATACTAAATCTGTCATGCACAAGCGGGAGAAGAGTTCCTGTGAGGAAAGTTTCAGTTCTCTATCATGCGCAGCTCGTGCACTGAAAATGATTTTTGCTGCAATTCTAAAGACGACGATTGGGGACAAACATTACAATAATAATAAACAGACCGAACCTGTTTCAGTTTTCAGGATGTGGTATAATCATTCCAGTTACATAACTCAGAATGTAATTCACGCCGAGCACAAACCTTTCTGACCGAAAATGCTGGACCGTCTACTGGGGTTCAAATTGCCAGCGTGGGCTAGAAGCACATGCTCTGCCAATTACGAGGTCAGAAGCACCCCTCACCCTCACCCTCTCCCTCTCCAGTACCACGTGTTACGGGCAGGCTTCGTCAATCCTTTCAGGTATGCGTGATTTGTCGCTTGTATATCGACTCCGTTTCCTCGGACAATTCACCTTTTTATCAGGGCACAAACAGGAATCCAAAAACAATAGATTATCAAATTGCGCGTCATGTGGAACCGGAAAGTAATTAGAGGCAATTTTCAGAGTCCGATTTCTTGATTGAAAGCGATGCAGTGCTTCACTCGGTCTGACCGCCGTGAGGATTCGGAGTATGAAAATGGCAGATCTTGTGCCCAGAGCCAATGTAGCAAGATGTGTCCTGCACACTTACACGTGGAAGATGAAGCTCGGAGTGAATCTTCCGGTGAAAGAAAGGCATGAAAGAAAGTAGAGCTCGACAGTTTTGGAGGAAACGAGTAAAGAATGTGGTGAATGTCTTACAGAAGACCTTTCTCCTGATTCGCATTGGTCCCACACACATTCGATTGACTGAAGCCTGAAGTATAATCTAACCTCGCTCGTCTGTACCTATCGATCTATCTCAATAGACATCCGAGTTTTGTTTTAAGCAGCCGTGGACGTCACCTTCAGCATCTTTGGACCCTCGTTTGTACACTCATGGACACCAGTGGATTCCAGCTGCTGCTGCTGCCACACCAAATCCTGGCTCCATGAACTGCACATGCCAGTAATTAGAACCTCATTTGTTTAATCCTGGAGCATTCAGACAAGCATCCGAGGGCCCTCGGCAAGAGCTTCAGCAGAGCACTTTGCCTAACCTCGCACCGCCAGCCAGCCAGCCAGCCCAGCTTTTCACCATGTCCTCTGGCCGTGCCTTGATCTTGTGTATCTGGCCTGGCCGACAAATGGACACCAGACACTTCGTGATCGCTCTACTTTTCGCAGGTTTCCCGATCGATCCGTTCCTCCAAGCCGAGAGCATTACAATTTCATCGGCTATGGATTGAAAGTATTATCTTGACCGAAGCCTCGGATCGCGGAAATTTACCATCGCAGGTCCTACTAGCCACGATTCGATTGGTAGGACCTCGGTCTCAGTCTCGGTCTTGGGCTTCTGTTGGGGGCTCGGCTCCTCGTAGGGGCAAACGGAATTGTCAGCTAATTTGCGCCGCTCCGGTTTCGATGTGAGAGAAATCCGCCGATGCGCTGCTGCTGCTAGCCCTGTTGCGCACAGAGGATGAATCTGATGCCCATGTTGATTTCGACTCCCGATGCTCACGCTTTCCCATTTCCGTGAGGTCTCATGGTGCCAACCGAGCTCACAGGCTCTGTGCAGAATTTACCATGGATTGACCAGATTATCAAGCTACGTCTATTGAATTATGCTGCCGAAAGATGATGTCAACAAGTGAATCGAGTCGATGTACTAATGATTTACGGAAGCGATTGAGCATCTGGTACGACTGACAATGATTACGCTGACGCTTTCACAGCGGGTTCGGGAATTTGGACGACGTGGTTTCGATTGTGGTCACTTCAATTTGTGCGGTACTGTAATTCTGAAGTCGTCATTATTACGCAATCAGCAATTTGCAGACGACAACTTGTTGCCGAAAGCATGGCCTGACTGTCTGACTGACGCAAGTGGAGAAAGTTGCCGGACACGCTACCAGCGAGCGAGCGACGGGAAGCGCGAATCCGAATCCGACCGAGAGATTCGAGAAGAAGAAAAAAGAATGTCGTGCACGCTTCACGCGCTTTGATTCGCTCGAAAACTCTCGTCGTTGTCACATCGTGGCGAGCCTGAGTGGGTGCAACTTTCGGCACGGCTCTCGGGCAATCAATCATTCTCTCGCAGCTGCTTCTCGGAAGCTGGGTTCTTATTCTTATTGCTATTGGTTTCGATCCTCCGTCTATTGCTTGTGGAAATCATGCCCAGGTCGAGCATAGCAGCAGCAGGCCTATAAAGCTCTCGTCCTTTGCGCGCTCATTCTACTGCCGACGATGCTGATGCTGCTGCTGCTGGCTCCCTTTACAATTCTGAATCGAACAGTTCTGATTTTCAGAATCTGATCACTGACAGACAGAAGTTGCCAGTTTCACCAGCGGACAATGACATCAGAACCTGGTTACCAAAGCTTGTGCGCTCCTAGGCTCGACAGGAAGGTGTCGGATGGGCTCGAGGCGAGGGACGGACGGACGGACGACAAGTGCTTCGGATTCTTCAAGATTGCAATGTTTGAGAGGAGGTTCTTTCTACTCGTAGATGTATGAATCGCCATCCCCGCTTTGCAATTGCATAAACGAGCACCATCACATCGGTGCAAGCATGGACATGGTGTACAGCGAAGCAGCTCCTCAGATTGTACGAGGACAACACGCACGACAAGACATTCTCCGCTCCAACCAACTTTTCAACATATGATTCGTCACTGGATTGATCAGCGGATTCAGTCACACACCGCGCCATGTGATTCAATGCTTGGTTCACCACTCACATCAAGCACTTGGCTGAATTAGGGCCTACAATGCAAATCGTTCGACCAGTGGTCGCAATTTCATCATTTACCCGACGGCAAATTAAATGGAATTCTGAAACAAAATTTGGCATAACTATACACCTTCTATCTGTCTGAACAATCCTTCGAATTATACAATCGAATTTTCGATTTCGCTGGACCGATCAAGGAAGTAGACTGAATTGCCAACTATTCTCAGTCCATCCAGATGCTGAAACTATGTACGAGGCATTCATTGGTGTACAGAGCAAGTCCGAGCCCTGACCAACGAGAGCTTAGCTTCTCGCAAGATGCAATCTCCATAATCAAAGAATTGGTCGCATGAGAATTAAGCAACTGACTGCATGGACGGAGTTCAAATCGGCCATAGATTACGCGTAATAAAGGACCTGTCTCACGCGCACGCCAGATAACTCCAGATCCTTGTCGATCCGAATACAAGTGGACAGTCTCCTGCGCAAACCTCTCCTTCGACATCTGCTCGATTCATCTGCTCGACCTCCTCCCTGTCGGAACAAAAGAACACACAGAGATTTCGATTACATCACAGATCAAATTTCGCGCAATAAAGAAGAGCCATCAAACGAAGTGGGCGATTGCTTGTAAATCACTCACATGTAAAATCTTGAATGGATCTTTTCTCGGTGCTATGACGGAAGCTTTGGTGGCCTTGAAACAGAACGTGCCTCCGAGACATTTCGAGAATTCTGTTCTCTCGCGATGCACTGTCTGCTGCTGCTGCTGCTGCTGCTGGGGGTGGCTGGCGTGACGCAATTGCGTGTGTGGAAGCAAGCAGCGTTCTGGGTCGTCGAGCTCGTCCATCACCATGGCGGCGGAGTCTTGCGACCCGAGAGACTCGAGCTTCGTGAGCTGCGTGGCTTGATAATGGTCGCCGAGGGGCGATGCGGATTTACGAGGCGACGACACAAGAGCAAAGCTGCTCAGAAGGTTGCTCACGCGGCTCAGAGCAACATGAAGCAGTGCAAGGCCCATCACACCCCAACAGGACGCAATTATTGCAGCGACGATATCTTCTTCTTCGCTCGAGCTGCTCTCCAGCGCGAGACATGTTTCAGCCTATTCTACACTGACTCCAGATGACGAGCCCCTTCGAGCTCCGACTCTCTTTCTTTCTGTGACCATGTCGCCAAAGCTTCGAGCGCGTGGCCCCAAGACTCGATTCCACCCAAGCGCCAGCCTCCAGCTCGTCATGGATATTACATGAATAACTGAATCGACCCAAGCTTGGAACGGCCACGTCCAACCTTCGAGTGCCGTGCGCAGTCTTTAAGCTATGGTGGCCGAGCAAGAGAAGAGCAGTACGTAAGGGTGATGGTGGTCATGGTCCTCGGGGCCAACGAACCTCAGCGAGACACGAGAGTACAACCAGCGAACGAGGCTGAGGGGGGCATCGAGAATCTCGAGTCCTGCAAGTAAATTCAGCAATTCGGGCTCGCGCTGAAAAGTTAAAACGTGGCTAAAAAGGAGGAATCGGAATTAGTTGTACAAAAAGAAATAAGCGCATTTGATTGATGCATATGATTTGATTTGCGAGAGCAGGGCGGCGTACGCTGTGGACACCTTGCATGCTGCTGTAGTCAATTGTGTGGGGGCCGAAACATGCAATCCGGCAGGTCTAGTGCATGGTTACAACAACTGCTTCGGCAGAAAGATGGAAAAGGTGAAATTTGGCAGGATCCTCTCTCTCGAGAGAGAGAGAGAGAGAGAGAATGTTGCAAAGCATGAGTGCGAGATGTCTAACCAACTCCCTTACGTCTTCAACTTCCAGCGCAAGTACAACCTTTATCGGCCACCACTCCAAGCAATTCCGCGCTGACAGTCGTGACGAAGTTGACCACGCTTTATACATCCCTTCGTCATGTACAGCAGACTTCACCGACAGCCATCGTTTGTATGCTACGCACTCTTCGACCTGTAGAGCCAGGTTTGGACAGATCGTGAACTACTGGTGCTTCTGCTGCTGCTGCTGCTGCGCCTGCGCCATGATTGTTTTGTTCCTCCTCTTTACTGTTTCTCCGAGCCTACGTATGAGAAATCGGTAGAGATTCAACGCCGTGCAAGATTGGATGTCCGGGTGGAGGGAGGGTTGACACGCTACGTGCTACGGATTTGGTCTCCATGTGCTTATAACGTGACGAAATACGATGATGACAAACCAAGCCTTTTATTGTAGCTACAAAGTGCCTTGGTCCCGCACTTCTTCACCACATTATGCTCATCTTTCGTGGCAAGCCTTCGAGGTTGACAACAGTTCGTGGAATGTCAAGTTGAGGAAAGTGTGGTAATGGATGGATGATGTACACTTTTTTCCATTGCCATCGTCCTTGTGGCGCATCGACGAGAACCTCTCATTTAAGGGAAGGATCAATCATCATGAGATTGCGGCTCAAAGCCTCTGGCCGTATGAAACTGCAGTCCAGTCAATAATGAGCTACAAGCCTGCTAAACTAGCAAAGTATCTGTACATGCTTCTCAATACTTTCCTGGTGGTGGTGAAGTATCGGTATCCCCTAGACTTCGCTGCTGATTACATAGTTGTAAGTTTACACGCTGCATTGACCTGGACCTCCCATACGGGACGAAGACTTGCTGTACAGTATATATTTATGTATGTACGCAGCTGATTCTGCTACTATCTACGATGTGGTCCATGAACTTGTTGGGTCCCATTACCGCAATGTTAAACTCCCACTTTCGAACACCTTTCAAAGTGCATGAATTCATTGATTCCTCTTCAACCCTCATATTTCTTGTTACATCACACATGAGCACATGAGGATGCTTTTCAGGTCTTGCAGCTCAGCACGTGTTTCGGATGCTGAGATTTGCCACAATCGAATTCTGTGCTTTTGAATGGATCCAACTTACACGTAGTGCTTCGACACAGTTGACTACCTTCACAGTAGGGTCGAAACCTGGACTTTATTCTTGAAGGAATAGGTGGGAAGCTCACTTCAGGTTTGGCCAGTAACGGATGCAGAAACCAAAATATTTTCCAGAGAGCCATTTGAATATGATTCTTTGCGCGAATCCGAGAAGACATGAAGGTCCCGTTTGGAACTTGGCCTCCCTAGCTTCGTCCCTGGTTTACAGCAACGGCTAGAATGTGACGAGTCGCTGCCGACTGCGACAGTCTTGCAAATTAGACACCAAATTCTGCGCGCAGCTTTTTCAACTCGAATGGCCAGAAATTGCAGCGTGGTATCAAACCTCGTGCCGAAGAAACCTCATCCTGAGCTCATATTGCCAATGGTTTTGTTGGCCACTTCTGGAGTCTTCCGTGGAAGATATGGTTTCCACAAACTCCTCATTTCCTCACCTTGGAAAGCGATGGCACCACTCCGTAAGAAATCTCCATTTACAGACTGGTATCGCCATAGCTATGCCCACACTTAACTGGACACCACACCAAGTCCTTCAGCCAAAGAGCTGGCACAAACACGTGACTACTGTAGGTGAATATTCAAACATGGTGAAGTGAAGAGCTTAACTTGCTTCTACTTGCTTCTACTGCGAATCAACTTCAGATGAGCTGGGCGGCTTTTGTCGCGGTGCGAGTGGGTGGCACCATGTGCGTTGAAACAGTATTTAGAGAATGTTCGACTGGCATTTGCTCTCCAAACCCGCCCTTGAATAGGGCACATCTCCTGTCCATTGCTTGCTCCATCTTTTGTTTTCTGGAGTATCTTTTGTTCTTTCGGAGTATCTTTTACCGTCGAATGAATGAGTTTCGAAACTGATGTCTACCTTCAGGCCTTCGTCCAAAAGTTCACTACGTCTGCGTCTGATTGAATTTCAGGCAATCCGTAGAGGACAATCCGGATTCTGCGCTTGAAGAATCAGTCCTCTCGTCGATCGGTGATTAGACCTATACGTTCGATGACTGTTCCCTACACCATCATATTGAGGAGTGTCACGAGTACCACTGTAACTTCCGCAGTGAATTGTGCAGAGACTATGAATCAAGCTCGATTGCGAATTGGGGGTTAAATCCCAACTTATATTAGAATGAGTGCACTCAGAGATGAGTAGAAGAAGGCAACTGAATATCTTTAAAGTTTTTGTCACTGGGCACTGAACACATATGGCGAGTTTAGGAGCAAGTTGAATCTCATGAAAAATGAGAGCAACCCTGGATTTAAGGCTAATTCAATGTTGCATTGAGTAGAATAAAGTGCATCATGCGCGTCATCTCTTGAATTAGTTACAAATGCAGAAGTAAGTGTGTTTTGCAAACAGAGTAACAGAGTACAGGTGCTTTATTCTGCAGATCAATATGATTTGCAATTGCAGGGTTCGACATCGACCCTGATAGCAGGAGCAGACCTTGCTATTTACTTGAGGCTCTGCTGCAACAGATCTGAAAGAATTCACCAACTCTTCGGTTCTTGCGTTGTTGCAATGTTTCTCTTCCAGGAGAGAAACGAAAGGAAGTGATACCGAACACTCTTGTTTGAGATATTGGACGTGATGCTTTTGAATCGCCAGTCATTAACTGTGAGGCCAAAGTTGAATGAGACAGAGGACGGACTGTCCCTGCAACATGCATCTGTAGAGCCTTCCTTCCTCATATAAGCAAATTGAACTTAGCTGACGCGGACCTGGTGCATGTAGCTGCTTTAGAGATATGTGACGAACTAATCTACGCAATCTGCTGGGAACAGATTAAACTTCTGGGGCCGTGCCCAATCTTATTTCTTTGATATCATATATGTACGACTTGATAGGCTCTTCCTGTCCTTCTTGCCATGTTACTTGGTTCACTTCGAAGAGACCAAACGTTTCTTAAAATTTGACGAATTCATGCCTCGTCAGATCCGGAAAAGGCACGAGGTCGAATATGCAAGACTGACCAAAATATATTCCAGTGCTAGACGTCCTTTGTCACAGGACTTCCAATGGAACCTTCAGAGGCTTTATTAAGCTTGCAGACAACCGTGACAGTGACAAGAACACATCGTCAATGTGCTATATCATTTAACCTGGTTACAGCTATTTGCAGAGCACGAATCTGCATAATTCCATCGCTTACTCTTCTCTACAAGAGCTCCTCTTGTCAATATTGTGCCTACAATCACTTGTGTCAACATCATGAGCTTTCAGCTGGAACCTGACTCGGTAAGGACCGACTTCTGTTGGACATAACTGGATCACGCCAACTATAGAATACTTGCTGTGACTTCAGCAAGCTGTTTTTGCAGGTTATCGATGCTTATACGTAAGCAGCTTTGTGGTTTATTCTCAGCGACTCTGTACATTTTTTATGTTGTTATGGCTCATGCCAGTTCGTAGTAACTTTTCTTATCTGATTGCTTGATTACAAACAGTACTCGCCCTTGCACATGTATGCACTCCTCACAGTTGATGTTTCTTGTTGCCAGATTAGGGACATGGTTAGATAGACCTTGGCATACTGCGCTCTCTTGCATGAGAACAAACCAATGGTAAGGGACATTGCAAATGCCGAAGCGATGGAAGCCCCCAAAAAACAAACAGCGACTCAGTTTGCGGCTTTAGAACAAAGCGGCAAAAGGCTTCTCTGTCGTGCTACATATCTTCGTTGACTGCTCATTATCTGCAGATGCACATTTGAAAGAGGAACAAGGCCTTGTCAACCAGGAGATTTCGAGTTCCTCCCATGACTTAACCAGTAGGAGATTGGAATGGAGTGCAGAACCTGCTGTCGACAACGACGACTTTTCTGGACCAAAACGCAACAAGCAATCCGGAATACGAATGTTCCAGAACTCATTGGAGACACGCTACAAGAATACTGGACCATAAATGTTTCAGAACGTAAACAACTGCTCTAATCGGTTGACTATACTTCTTAAAACAGCAGGTTTGGGCCAATACACTCACAAGTAGGACAGATGTACGCACGTAAGACTCGGTCTGTTTGACTATTGTGACACAGTCAGATGTGATTGTTGTCAATCTTGACGAGACCCAGTTTCGAATCATGGACGTGCTCATAGGGGTGAAAAGAATTCTCTAAAAGGAGTAACTATGGTTCTCGATTAATGGGTGATCATTGATCACTGATCAACGATACAAAAGAACTTACTAAACAGTAAGTTCTTTTGTATGAGCCCGGTTCCTGCACTTTTACATGAATTATATTTCAGAATTATATTTAAAGTACTACAAAGTTGTGAATTCATGTAAAGGAGCCATTCATTCATTCGGAGCGCTCATTCCAAAAATATAACACAACCTTATTCACCTTTGCGTAATATACAATAGTACAGTAAACACTTTATTAAAAACCATCAATCGTTCAATGAAAAATTAACTCATTTAATTAACTTTACTTAATTAATAAATTTTTGATTATAATTTGATTAAAAATAAATATTCAATTGACTAAAAATTTCTTCAAAAAATAGTTACTGTTTTAGAAAAGAGAAAATTTTATTTCATTATTTTTGTTTGTGTTAACTTATGCTCTAGTTGAAATATTGTCTCAAATTCTCAGATTCTTTTGCAATATGTTGGGAATTTTGTGCAAATGTGATATTTCCAATCTTGAGATTTTGGACTGACAAATTTTATTTACAAAATCAAGGTTTTATATCAAGTCTTCCTTTGTAATTTTGTAAACGCCTGCATTGAGCTTGCACAAAAGTGGAAAGATGTTTACTATTTTTACTCAGAATCTCTTTGTGTGCTTTATAGAAAACTTAATACAAGTGGAAATATCTCGTAATGCAAACTGGCAGTGAAAGAGAGATAGAGAGAGAGAGAGAGAGAGAGAAAAAAATGTAAATCAAGAAATTTCGAGTTTCAGGGTAACTAGTCTTTTGACAATTATTAGACTTCGACAAAAAAACTTAAATGATGCACGTGAATAAAATGTATCTCCAACGGTAGCCTTTACCAGTGGAGGTTACACTTTACTGTAGAAAAGGAAAGTTGTGTACATTTATTACCCAAGGTACTAAATCATGGAGCAGCACAGTATCCTTTATCTTTCGGATGTGACGGTGTGAGCACAGCTTGCCTTGAAACAATGCTCAAACATTTACTGTTTCTATATGGTTCTATCAGAATGTCGCACACAATATATATTGCAAATTCTTTTCCACCTCACCATTCCACAGAGGTTGTTAGTAGCTCTCCATGTATAACTTTTTCACTTAATATCTCATTCCTGTCCTTCTTCCCTTCGATATGGACCTCATTTTGAACACACTTACGGTTGTTGTACACATGCAGATAAAACACATTAAGGTACATTGATCAGTTGGCACTAGAAGTTTATTAGGGTCAAATCAAAAAGTATGGACTATATGTAGTAGATGTTTGACTTTCTATATGTTAACGTGTTTCAGTAGAGCTTTGGCTTCATTTGAGAGAGATCACAGACAGTACAATACAGTGGTAAGTCTCTAGAGTTTCTACCTAAAATCTCCAAAGTCAACATGCAGTGAGAAGGTTAAGGGAAGCTTGGTGGTGTCTATGGTACTTCCTGTGCAGCTTCCATGTGCAGGTTTACTCGAGAAGGTGAGGACGGATTATTGCTTCTATGTCATGGACATTTGCCAACAACTACAAACATTAATCTGCTTGTTGCAGCCATGCAAAATGACGCAACCCACGATCGTCCAAATGCTCCTTCTGGAACAAGTGAACTGAGTTTCCATAAAGGTGAAAGTCCATAGGTTGTTTTCAATTTGTGTGTGGTGTCAAGGGTTTCTGCTCATATATTTTTTCTGGCTTCTCAGGTGTGCTCTGTTGCACCTTTGGTGGCCTCTTTCCTAACTATTTTCGATCCTCTGTCTCGATCCTGATTTAAAGAACAACATAATGTGTTGATAACTCTATCATAGAGCAAGAGTTGCTCTGGAATCTTAACAGAGATGTTCCAAACTTTCGCATGGGACTTGATTGGATGACATACCATCCGTGTATAAAAAACTAATCTGGACGAGATTCCGACATGCAGGCTCCCATCATGGCAGGCAGCAAAGGCCTTTTGAGCAATGCAACCGCTTTCTCGATTGCGAAAATAGTTCTAACAAAATCCGGCCTTTAGATTTATAAGATTCTGGTGGTAGATCTGCATGGGATCGGATAATGCACGGTAGGTCCCTATACTTCATCCATTCATTGCACAATGAATGGAGTGAAGTTGGCAGTGAGTTGGCCTCCTTAGATGTATAAAAACATTTTCAAACTTACATGCTGAGTTGTGAGCATGAGAAGACAAGGTGCCCGAATAAATAATGTATGCAATCAATCGGAAATTAACCACCTGAAGATGGGCACAAACAAATGATTTCTTCTGTATTTTGAACGTGCAAGAGGCTCAATTCCTGGCAATGTAAATTACAATTTGCCGTAAAACATTCAAATCTCAATTCGTATGTTGTGCTATCAGTTGCTAAAGTAATCTCGTGTGACATGATGTCTGAATGCTTCCAGGTTTTGCAGTATCTCAATTCTGTCTCGCTCTGATGGAACGCAGCTCAGAGGGAAGGAAGTTCAAGGAGCTGAAGGATTGTGGTGCACTTCAAGGACAGTTCTCCCCTCTCCTAAAATGGAAATGGAAATGTGACCATGACCATGTAGTGGACTCGAGTGGGATCGGACTTACTGACCGATGTCAAAGCTTGATCGGTGAGCATGTTTGTCATATCTACAGGATTAACAACTTTTCGTCCAACGGGTCAGCTGGTCAGTATGTTGGAAGCCAGCAGACCCAGAAGTCTATATCACCAACTAGTTCCCTAACATTGGTACGTGCGTTCATGTGTTGATAGAAAAGGCTGGAACTAGTAGTTTCAATCTTCAGCCTTTGAACAACATTCACACCAGCCGCCAAAAGCCTGAAAAAGTTTGTCCATGAGCAGGATTCGTGCCATGAAGTCATTTCCAGTGTTGCTGTATCAAATTGCTGATGGTGTCAAGAGAACGAGACTTTGGAAACCTGTGCAGCCCGACCTACTAGTAACTAACTCCATGTATCTAAAGATTGTCGAACATGTCAATGATCACATTTTGTTTTGGATCTGGTATTATATCATTTACTTGTAATCTTGTTGTGTAGAATGACACTTTAGCCCTGGGAGAGGTTAGTTATTCTCCACCCTACTATACTATATAGAACACAACTTTGTGATTGGTCAGAGCTATCATATGTTTACTAGAATTATATGATATAGTCACTGCATGGGAGCAGTGAGCGATAATTGGAGGTCAAGGTCTAGATAAAGGGATTGTTGGAACAATTCCTTTATCATACTGCACTTTGCTTTACTCTTTCCAGATCAGGCTAGTATTTGCAACCGTAGGGTTCATGTGAACGCTTCCTCCGCCACTAGGCTGGTGTAGTTGGTTTTGTCTCAACCGCGCATTCAAAGTTGACTAGACAGTTTACTTTTCTCTATACCATTGACTTTCCAACTTCACATGGTTTATTATGTGTCGATATTTTATTTTATCACGTGTAAATGGCATACTTATTTATGATCCAATCTATGTTCTATAACTCATAATTAATCTCAAGTATAAACGTCACTATAGATGAAATGTTTCTTACAGTAAATCAGAAGGGATATTTCGAGGAGTGAACATTGATGTCGTCTGATGTAGTATTGGAGGACTGAAGTAAGACCGTGTTACAGATTCATACATCGGTGTTTTCTACGAAATGTAAATCTTTATTGGTAGGTGCGAAATGGAAATGTGACAACCAAGTTCTTGGCTACGCAGGGAGGTCACATCTCTCTCTCATTTAAAAGTTCGTATTATGAAGCTTATATACTCTAACTATATAAATAGTTTTTCCAATAATATTTTAGAATGAATTTCTATCGCTATACATAGCCATGTATAGCATCATTACTAGAACTTAACTTGTACTAGGAAAATTTCTCATAGTATTATAATTGGGGTCTAGCCACTTGTCAAACTTAATTTCATGCAATGTGAAGCTCGATGACATTCGATGCAGAAGAGTTCAGTTCTGGCGATGGACCCGGTCGCGCAAGCACTGTAACTCAGGAAGTAATCCGAATGGCACGGCAGCGACTTTTACTCGTGCACGCAGCAGCTGCAGTCGTGGCCGCCAGAGGTGGACTTCTTCTATCAGAGGCAGAGCGGTGCTCGCGTGCTGCTCGCCACTGATTCTCGTGCTCTGCGGCCTCTGCAGAAACGAGAACGGCATTTGGTCGATTGACACCGAGAATTGCCATCTGCGTGCCTCCCGATCTCGTCGTAGTCGCAGGGAATTTGTGGATCTGCTCGGTTCAGCATTTGTAGTATCACGATGGGGGTCGCTGGAAAGCAGCTGCGTGTGAAGCTGAATAATGGCCAGTTCATGCCCGCAGTAGCAACCGGAACTGCTCCGATGAAGGAAATGTCGCCCGAGTTCGTGATCGAGGCCATCGAGGTTGGCAGGCCAGGCTAGTCTCGATGATTATGTTGGTTGTGTTCTAATCTGCATCGTATGTTGACAGAGCTTGTGTGGCCATGGAGTTTCCTGACTTCACACTGCGCTCGTCGATCAGGTTGGTTACAGACATTTCGACACCGCCGCCATGTATGGAATCGAGGCAATTCTGGGCAAAGGTCTTCAACAAGCGTTCACCCAAGGGCTCGTGAAACGGGAGGACATTTTCGTCACGACGAAGCTCTGGGTCACAGATCTCAACGCGCCGGACATCGTTCCCTCGCTGAAGAAATGCCTCAGGTAAGACTCCATCTCTGGCACTCGATGAGTCGTCCTTGTCATGCTTGTTCCTGGGACCTTCACAAAGCCTGCAACTGCGGCAAGGATGTGTCCCGAGAGACGCATTGGAGCATGATCTGCTGGAAATTGAAATGGAAGAGAAGGGAAATCTGACTTGCACATGACGACATGTTCAGTGCGCTGCAGCTCGAGTACGTGGACATGTTCGTGCCGCACTGGCCCGTGAGAATCCGCCCCGGATCGATGTGGTTTCAGCTGGCACCGGAAGATTTCTTGCCGCTCGACTTGCCAGCGTGCTGGAAGGCCTTCGAAGAGTGTGTGCATCTCGGATTGACGAAAGGCATCGGAGCGGGCAACTGCGGCATTAAGAACCTCAAGTTACTCATGGCCGACGCCACCATTCCGCCTGCAATCAATCAGGTCCGCCCAATGCTTTTCCTGAAACTGCTTGCAACGCTCGGAATTAGTGAAATTGGAGCGAAGCACAGATTGGGGGTAGTGCTCGGAGGCCTGACGGTGTGCGTGTTGTAGATAGAGCGCCATCCGGGTCACGAGCGACGGGAGATTGTAGAATTCTGCCAGAAACACGGAATCCACGTTCAAGGCTGGGCGGCGTTAGGAGCTCCGAATTACGGCGTTCTGCCACTCGGAGCATACGGCACGAACGTCGTCCTCGAGAGCCCGATCCTGATCAAAATTGGAGCCAAGTACGGCAAAACGAGCGCCCAGGTTGGTCCCGATCTCCCATTCTCGCAATCATCATTCCGCTCGATCGATCCTCCATTGATCGACTCTCATAATTGTGTGACGCAGGTGGCTCTGAGGTGGAATTTGGACCAAGGCTGCAGCGTGGTGGTCAGGAGCACGAAGCGCGAGAGGATGGCGCAAAATCTCGACCTCTTCGACTTCTCGCTCACGCCCCAAGAGCTCGTCGACATTCGAGGCGTCGAGCCCAACATCATCGATCCCGGAACGTTCTTCGTCTCCGCCGGCAGTCCTTACAAGACGCCGGCAGACATGTGGGCCGAAGACTGACTGACATTCCGGCGACCGCGAGAGTTCGAACCATCCCGAGCCGGCCGGTGCGCTTCCTACCACGTAGCAGAGGCACGCACACTTGTCACCAACCGAGTTGAGAACGCGGTTGCTCCGCACCATCGCCCCAGTACATAGCAAGGTGACGGATTCCGCGAGCCCTCCACACAAACCTTCGCCTCATCGGAAGGGAAGGGGAGATGTTTTCGTCAGAGATCATCGGCATCTCTATTGATACGATATTGTTATCCTGGATTCATACCATGCCAGGCATTCTTCGAGCCCGTTGCTCCAGCAAGAATATGTTTATTGCGTCACACTGTGATTTCTAGTCATGTAAACTAGGCACTGGAACTACTTCCAGGAGTTTAATGAATTGGGTTGCAAGGCGGTGCGTCTCACCAGGGAGAAATTGCTGGTAAGATTTTGGGTCAATGAAGTTGATGACACTGACAAACTTTGTTTCCATCGCGATTATGATTTCGTGAGTGGCAGGATATGGTTTTCTTACTACCCAATGATGAAGAAAGAAAGGTCATGCAGGTTGAGAGATCTCGAGGTGAGTGGGTCATGATATGGAAGATAAGTTACTTTCTATCTCATGCATATAATGAAGTCAACATCAACGTTATCAACAAATTTATGAAAACCTGAATCTGTGAAGACTGAAAATCTCGAGAGTTCTTTTGTAAGTGAAGAAGATACTCAGTACTATTCCGTCAAGTGGTAATTGGTGGTATTTAAGTTTACATCTTTTTCAAGGTTCTGCTCATGTGATAGATACCTCCACTTATATTTTCCAGGGTTGAGTCAGAGTCATCGTACACAAGCAATTTGACTTTCTAATTCTACAATAAACTGGAAACTCGAATTAGGCACTGATTGTCGGGTCCGAAAGAAAATTGAGGTAATTTATATCTGTCATTTTCTGATTACTTAGCATGTAAGTATGAATCTTGCCACAAATCTAATGACTCTTTGTGTGTTTAGATGCGTGTTGATCATGATATGCGACTGGTGCTCGTCTCTTTGATTTGACTGTCTCGACAAACATATGCATGATCATGAAGATTTTATAACAATTTACCGTCTTCAGGTTTGTGTTGGTAGATGCTGTGTGGACTCACAGAGGTAGGCTTTCTTATATGACAACAAACAGATGGCACATTTCATTTCAGGTTTGTGTTGGGAGATGTTGTAAGGACTCGTGGGTAGTTTTCCTTATGTGACAACAACCAGATGGCACATTTCATTTCAGGTTTGTGTTGGGAGATGTTCTAAGGACTCGCGGGTAGTTTTCCTTATGTGACAACAATCAGATGGCACATCTCAATCCATCGTGCGCTCTTATGTGAAACGAATGACTACATCTGAGATGGATTTCGGAAGTGTAGAATCTTCCAACAATGTCAATTTCATTTGATCGTGTGCTCTTTTGGAGAAACGAATAACTACATCTTTGATGGATTTCGGAAGTTTAGAATCTTCGAACAATGTCGATAGGTTCATGACATGACCACATTATTTTCTCATCATATGAATGTTTTCACTTATTCCTGAACTTGGAACATCTAAAGTATTTCCAAACTTTGTATTTTAACAATCTTACTATCTTACAATATTTTGACCAGATTTCTTGTCCTGTTTGTTCAAATCTTCGATCTATAATTTTTTGACTTTAATCTGTTAAGTTTAGAATATTATATCTATATCATGTGAGATTTTATCACTTTTTGATTTTTATTAATAAAATAAATTTGATTTCTGTATGAAAAGATATCAATTCTCACCATTAACAATGTCAATATATATTATATAATTTACCTTGGTATTGTATGTAAATGTACCTAATGAAATACTGAACTATCTTGTAACGTGCGATATGATATATGTATTAAAAAAATCTCAGTATTAATGGATAGTTTAAATCAATTATACTTAAATAGAATCTCCATGGATATAGATTATGAAATAGTTGATTCGTTCTATGTTCAAAGAAAGTTTAATTAAATTAGAGAGATGTAAATTTATTGTTCTTGGATGGAATTGATTTATTTTTAATTATATTTTCTCTGTATTTTTCTAGATAAATATAAATTTCATATTATTCATTTTATAATTTTAAGATATATGTATAGAATATATAAAATTTTATAAATTAAAAATTATTCGAAATATAAGTACATTGATATTAATTTAATTATATACAAGTAAATTCAATTTTAGTTAACTTCAAAAACAATTTCTTATTTATATAATTTAAAGAAAAATCGCATCTTAAAATGGAAAAACATTTATCACAAATGAAAGTTTTTTTTTCTAAATGTTCAATCATAAAGCTCGATAACAATTAACTTTAAAAAATTTTGTCATATTTTGTCATTGCTAATATGCTTAAAAAAATTATTATTTTCAAAATCAAGATAACAACACATAGTTTATTAGATTTACGAAAATTGTGAATTTTATGTACATCATATGATACAAGGTGAACTTTGAATAGGTTATTTTTCCAAACATATCTAGATTTATAAATTGAAGTATCAATCTCCTTGCATTTTTTTAAGAACAATACGATATGTTACAACATATCTAACATATTTGAAATTTTTCTTCATAAATTATATATAAATTTAAAATACATGTGTTTGTTACTTACTATTTGTAATTGGATTAAAGATGACACCTTTTAATTACATAAATATTTTATTTTACATCAATTAAATTAACGTAGAATTTTTAACAATGATGTGAGTATATAAGTATGATGTTTGTAGATTATTTTCATATTTATTTTTTTAATTTCAAAAATAATTCCTATTAATTGATATTTCAATTTGTGTGAATTTATTTTTTCATATAAAATTTTTAAATTCCAAGTTGAATTTTTTTTTAGGTAATTATAAATAAATTATTAATTTTTTTGTTTAGAAATTAATGTATAGAGCATGTTATTTTTACCTCACCAAGTATTATACTTTGTAACATAATGTTAATTATACAAAACTCAATTGAAAAGTGTTGAATGCAATGCAAAGCAAACTCATTCATTTTAGTTACTACAGCAAACTAAAGCTACTATAATCATTTTGTATATGCTAAAGCTTTCTCCTTGAGATGCATTTCATTTATTGACATGTTTGAATTTTATCAAAAAAGCAAAATCAATTATCATTGTTTAAAATATCTTGTTATATTATTTATATTTTCAGGTTGAAAAAAAATATAAAACTTAAGATTACGTCTAAGCATTAATATTTTCCGATTTATTACCTGAATACTTTATCATAGACTATGATAATCTATGATTTGTGTAATTTTTTTTGAAATATACTATTAAAAAGTTATTTGATAATATTTCTAATTTAATTATTTACGTATTGTATGTCAATGACAATTACATCGGGAGAAAAAGATCAATCCAACATTGACATGTGCAAAAAAATCAATCGAAATTTGATTCATGATAAACAAATTTAAAAACATTTGGAAATCTATTAGATATTTATGTTTGTATAGACTTTAAGAAAGCTAATCACATGATCAAGTCAAGTCAATCACATTCTATGAATGATTGATAGAATAAACATTAATACTATTGTTCAAAGCCATTACTAGTGTCATTTTACAAGTTGTTTGGGGTGTGAGGTGATTGTTTTTCTAGATAGAAAAAATTGTAATAGATTTTTTGGTTTTTTTTGCAAAGAGGTTCTATTAGAATAATATAAATAAAATCAATCATAGTAAAGTCCAGATTTGTATAGTTTATTCACTATTGGACTACCGATTATCTTCCCATATTAAGCTAAACAAAAGTTTAGGTTTTCTTTCCCGAACGGGAACCATTCTCGCCAAACACAGGATGGCGGAGCCAAGGAAATCTTCAAGTGCTAGAGGCAATCAGCAACTGCAGCAGCTTGAAAACTATCGAATGAAAGTTAGTTTTGAGAGATTTCAATACCAGTTCCAGTACCATTATACGACAGATGAAAATTGGTAGGTTGACATGAATGTTTGAAGCGGAAATGGAGAGCTTGGATTAACAATTGGAAATAATTTTGAATTTCTCTAGTAATTGATTTTACATATAGTTGCGAATTTTACATTGTAAATTTAAAAAATATATACCGTGTGCTTGAAGTCTTCTGAACAGAGACTGGATTCAGAAAGGGAAGACGTCAGAATGAGGATAGATAGGGAGTTCAAGAGGATAGAAGAGCCTATGTTTTACCTTGCAAGTCTACACACCGCAAAAAAAAAATTTAAAAAATTGAGAATTTCATACCTGAGAAAATGATATTCACCAAACAAGTGTTCAATTGAAAAAGCAGGGAAATTGAAACAAGTTCTGATCATAAAAGGAAGATTGAAGCAACTTCTTACCATTGGAAGAAAATCGAAGCAAGTTCCGATCACAAGAGGGAGATTGTAGCAAGTTCCGATCACGAGCGTGAGATTGTAGCAAGTTCCGATCACGAGAGTGAGATTGCAGCAAGTTCTGATCATGAGTGGAAGGTACTTTGGCAATTCAACAATACTCATGCCTACAAAGAGTTTCTAGTGGTATGTAGCATGGTTGAGGACGACTGAACAGCCAAAAGTATCAAATATGTTTGGTGGTATCAGCTTGGATATAGTATCAAATATCAGATTGTCGAGTAGTGATAGCATCAAGCAACTCAAAGTTCTTGACAAGGATGTTGGAATTTCTGATTTGTTATAAGGAAGACTTTGTACATATAGTAGTAGTGTGACATATAGACTAGTAGTGATTATACATATAGTGTAGTGTCGACTACAACGGTAATCTATAATGGTAATGTAATGGATAACAAATAAGGTGTGTCCACTGCTTTTGGACACTGTATTTAGCACTCAGAGTATCTAACTTATTCTAACAAGCTCCCTTACTCTAGAGTGCATAAGGTAGATTCTAAAAAAAAAAACTACTTCTCTACATCTAATTCTTCTTCATCTATCGACTAAAAGAGATTTTTTAGGTGGCGTTTCCAGACTTCGTAGTCCAAGATAATGTTTGTGGTGATTAAACTTCAACCTAAAAAGAGCCTTGGTCAGCATATCTGCTTGTTGTAATTTTGTGGAGAGGAATAGAACTTCAATCTCCTTCAAAGCTATCCATTTCTTTATTAAATGATGTTGCATGCCAATGTGCTTGCTCCTTGCATGAAATACTAGATTTTTGGCAAGTTTTATAGCACTCTCATTGTCAGAGTGAACTATTGTGCATTTAGTTAGTGAACTGGAAGTGGGAAGTGCAGAAGTGATCTTGATGTCCTTGCAGGAGAGAGGAGTTGGTGTCATTGTGACTGTAACTGGGTTGATTTCATGTAAAAGTTGATGTAGCCAAACAGCTTCATGTGCACTAAAGTACAAGGCTTTATATTCACTCTTTGTAGAAGAGAATGAGATAAGATTCTGCTTCTTATAACACCATGATACTGCTCCTCCAACGAGTGTAAATATGTAAGCACCAGTACATTTGAATGTGTCCTGGCAAGAGCTCCATGTGGCATCTGTATATCCCTGCAATTGTAATGAATTTTCTCGTTTGTACAATATCCCGTGGTCTAAGGTACCCTTGAGTCACAAGGTTTGGAAGCCAATATCTAGATGAGACTCATGAGATGCTGTCATAATCGTGAGAGTTATCCACAGCAAAACAAATATCAAATCTAGAGTTAGTAGCAAACATCAATTGGCCAACTAATTTTTTGTAAAATGTAGGATCTACAAAGGGAGTGTTAGTATCTTCTTTCAAGTAATGTCTAGCATTGATTGGAAAAGTAAAAGGCCCACAGTTAAGCATATTAAACTCCTTAAAAAAATTTGTGATATATGACTTTTGATGAAGTAATAACTCTTGTGATGATCGAGAATACTCAACTCCTAAATACTTCTAAATTTCACCTAAATCACTCATTTCATACTGACGCATTAGATCCGACTTAATCTCAAAGATTTTTAATTGATTGTTCCCTGTTATGTACATGTTGTCTACATAAAGCAACAAAATAACAATTCTTCCTTAAAACATAAAGATTAGGATCTGAGTCACAACGTGTTCAACCTGCTACTCTTAGGTATAAGTCAATACATTTGTACCAAGCCCTTTGAGCTTGTCTCAAACCTTAAAGTGCTTTGTTCAATTTACACACAAAATTTTCAAAATCTTTTCTAATAAAACCAGGTGATTGATGTACATAAACGTTTAATGAGATAACACTGTTTAAATAGGCGGTTTTGACATCTAGATGATAAATTGGACATTCGCATGCACCTGCAATGGCGGATACGGATCTAACCGTCGATCACTTCACGACATGTACAAAGGTGTCGGTGTAGTACTTAATTTCTTTTTCTTGGAAGGCTCTTGCTACAAGACGAGATTTAAGACAAGGTGTAGGACCGTTATGGGCTTCTTTGACTCGAAATACCCACTTGCATGTAATTGCCTTTGTTCCACGTGGTAGTCTAACCAGGGTCCATGTACGGTTTTTATGGATTGAGTTCAACTCATCAATTATCGACGCGTGTCATTCAGGTGTC